CTTGCTCTCTCCACAGGTCTCTCTTTCACCGGGCGAGGAACACTATCCATCGCCTCGTCATCCGAGGAATCCGCAGAGAAGCAGAACTTCCTTCCATCCAGAGGGGATTCCAGCTCAGCGATGAACTCCAGCATGCCGGTACCTCCCTCAACCTCCTGCTCGGATCCTCCATGTTGCTGCTGCGGAGGGAGGGGGACAGAGGCCTCCACCATTGGGGGCTCAGCAGATTCCTGAGGTGTTGAAGAGCTGGGCTCATCCTCCGGGCCCACTTTCTCACTCTCTGCTGACTCTGTCGGTACCGGCATCTCCTCTGCTCCCACCATCCCTGTGCTGAGTTCCCGGGTCTGTACACCCGCTGTGCCCATTATGAGGGGCTCCCACCATCCCTGTGCTGAGGTCCCGGGTCTGTACACCCGCTGTGCCCATTTTGAGGGGCCCCCACCATCCCTGTGCTGAGTTCCCGGGTCTGTACACCCGCTGTGCCCATTATGAGGGGCCCCCACCATCCCTGTGCTGAGTTCCCGGGTCTGTACACCCGCTGTGCCCATTATGAGGGGTTCCCTCTACCCCTGTGCTGAGTTCCCGGGTCTGTACACCCGCTGTGCCCATTATGAGGGGTTCCCTCTACCCCTGTGCGGGGGGGACCCCGGTCTGTGTGGTCACAATGGCGGCTCCATAGAAGAGGAGGAGTCGGCCCGGAACACATGGGGCTTCGAGGACAGACACATCCCAGCGGTGAGACACGGCTGCCTGCAGGGAGAGATGAGACACCTCATGTTACAGGTACAGACACGAGTCACCCGCAGGTGCTGCTCACATTATAAACCTCTCACAGACATCAACAACCTCAGTCATAGCAAGGAGGACACGGCACACTCTCAGGTCTATCGCAGCATACGTAGAGGGTTGGGGGGTCTATTGCAGCATACGTAGAGGGTTGGGGGGTGTATCGTGGCAGCATACGTAGAGGGTTACCTATATACTGTATGCCGGGGGTCTCAGAAATGCCATCACAATACCTAGACTGGGTTCCCTTCATGTGACAAATCTGCCATCTCTCTGGACTGGGAGCTCTTCCTGGAGAAGAAGTGTTTTGGGGTCCACCACTGGACCACACTGAGGAGACCCCCCAACGTCGTATTGAAGACTGTGAAGATACTTGGACCCTCCTGACCTGTGGGGCTTCTATGAGGGACTTCCTCCCCGTACTCCTCAGGTGGGTTCGAGGGGGTTCTATGAGGGACTTCCTCCCCGTACTCCTCAGGTGGGTTTGTGGGGCTTCTATGAGGGACTTCCTCCCCGTACTCCTCAGGTGGGTTTGTGGGGCTTCTATGAGGGACTTCCTCCCCGTACTCCTCAGGTGGGTT